CCCGCCTCCGGTTGCCCCCCCTACCCTTCTCTCCCCACCCAGGGACGGGGAGGCGCGCCTTCCTCTAAGCGGGGTTCTATTTAATCTACCGCAAAGCTCTATCCTCCGGCTGGGGGTTATGAATGGGTGCAGCGGAAGCACCTCCCCCTCCGGACGTGACGCCCAGCCAATCCGCGGGCCCGCTGCGTGGATGGATGAGGTCAGCGCTGTGGTGTCGGGGAATGGAATGTTGGAAGTGTAACATTCGGAACCGGGCGACGTTCGGCGATCGAACCCCGCGGTCGGCAACGTTCGACGCGGGGAACGCCCGCGCCCGCCTCCGCCACGCTTCCCTGGGCCGGAGCTGCCTGGTCGCCCGCGCGTTGAAATGAATGGCTGAGTGGGGCGGGGGCTGAGAGGAGGAGGAGGAGGAGGAGACGGCGGCGACGGAGGCGGCGGCGGCGGCGGTACCAGCGAGCGGAGGCAGCTTCGGGAGAAAAGAAGGAAGGAGGAGAAGAAGGAGAAGGAGGAGGATCTTTTTTGCTGGGTTCCAGCGCGGGGGCCCTCCACACGGAGCTCGCAGGAAGGCGGAAAGAGCAGCCCCCCCCTCCGTGCTCTCCCTGCCTGTGTGTTTGGAAGCTGCTGCTGCAAAAAAGAAGGAAGGAAGGAAGAGAAATGCAGGGATTCGTAAGGTTACGGTGCTCGGGCTGGAAGATGTGATCTGGATTGGGGCTGCAAGAAGGCTTGGCGCTGCCCGACTCGCTCTGAAGCCGGGCGCTCGGGGGGTCTCGTCCTTCCTCCCTCCCTCCCTCCTTTTTTATTTTTTAAATTAAACGTTGCAGGGATGTTTTGGGTGAACTGAAGTTGCAGCAGCCCCAGCTGCTGCTGCTGCTACACCTTGATCATCTGCAAACCCCGTGTGTGTGTGTGTGTGTGTGTGCGTGTGCGTGCATGAGCGGGAGGGAGGAAGGGAAAGAGAGGAGAGGGCGGGACAGATTTCTCAATCTCGCCACGGCAGATTTAAGGGCAAAAGGCAGCTGGATCCGGCGAATTCATTTGGCCGAGGGCTGCCGGCGTCGTGGCTCGCTCTCTCTCGCATGCAAGCGAAATTCCCAGCCTCTTGTGTGAAGCCGCGCTGGGCGTGATTCTTCCCTGCCTGCCCCTGCTTCTCTCTCTCTCTGAGAGGGCGGGACAGATTTCTCAATCTCGCCACGGCAGATTTAAGGGCAAAAGGCAGCTGGATCCGGCGAATTCATTTGGCCGAGGGCTGCCGGCGTCGTGGCTCGCTCTCTCTCGCATGCAAGCGAAATTCCCAGCCTCTTGTGTGAAGCCGCGCTGGGCGTGATTCTTCCCTGCCTGCCCCTGCTTCTCTCTCTCTCTTCTCTTTCCCTCCCTCCCTCCTTTTTTATTTTTTAAATTAAACGTTGCAGGGATGTTTTGGGTGAACTGAAGTTGCAGCAGCCCCAGCTGCTGCTGCTGCTACACCTTGATCATCTGCAAACCCCGTGTGTGTGTGTGTGTGCGTGTGCGTGCATGAGCGGGAGGGAGGAAGGGAAAGAGAGGAGAGGGCGGGACAGATTTCTCAATCTCGCCACGGCAGATTTAAGGGCAAAAGGCAGCTGGATCCGGCGAATTCATTTGGCCGAGGGCTGCCGGCGTCGTGGCTCGCTCTCTCTCGCATGCAAGCGAAATTCCCAGCCTCTTGTGTGAAGCAATCGCCCACATGCGCTGCATCAGCCCAAGGCTTGGGGAAAGGAATAAAGAGAAGGTGGGAGAAGAGAGTTTAAAGTCTTTGCAGGCGGGAAGATGGCGGACTCAAGCTGAAAGTGTGGATTGGCAAACTTGGGCGATCTTTGTGTTTATTTACAATCCTCTTGACCCAGATAGGACACATGCAGGCCAAAAAACGCTATTTCATCCTGCTCTCCGCTGGCACTTTCGTCGTCCTTCTCTTTTACTTCGGAGGCGTGCAGTTCAAAGCATCAAGAAACCAAAGCAGGCGAGAGGCGCTCAGTAGTAGTAGCAGCAGCAGCAGCAGCAGCAGCAGAAATGGCCCGCAGCACCCCAGCCCCGAGCATTACTGGCCCCGATTCCCGGATGCCCTGCGCCCTTTCGTTCCTTGGGAGCAGCTGGAGAGCGAGGAGTACAACGTGCACGCCTCTCCCCGGCAGAAGCGCGATGCCAACGCCAGCGTCTACAAAGGCAAGAAGTGCCGCATGGAGTCCTGTTTCGACTTCGCCCTTTGCAGGAAGAACGGCTTCAAGGTCTACGTCTATCCGCAGCAGAAAGGGGAGAAGATCGCCGAAAGTTACCAAAACATCCTGGCCGCCATCGAGGGCTCCCGCTTTTACACTTCCGACCCCAGCCAAGCCTGCCTGTTTGTCCTCAGCCTGGACACCTTAGACAGAGACCAGCTCTCCCCCCAGTACGTGCACAACCTGCGGTCCAAAGTGCAAAGCCTCCACTTGTGGAACAATGGTAGGAATCATTTAGTTTTTAATTTATATTCCGGCACCTGGCCTGACTATACCGAGGACGTGGGCTTCGACATTGGCCACGCCATGTTGGCCAAAGCCAGCATCAGTACGGAAAACTTCCGGCCGAAGTTTGACGTTTCCATCCCTCTCTTTTCTAAGGATCATCCAAGGACAGGAGGGGAGAAGGGCTTCCTGAGGTTTAACACCATTCCTCCCCTCAGGAAGTACATGTTGGTCTTCAAGGGGAAAAGGTACTTGACTGGAATAGGTTCGGACACCAGGAATGCCTTATATCATGTTCATAATGGGGAGGATGTTGTCCTCTTGACCACCTGCAAGCATGGGAAAGACTGGCAAAAGCACAAGGATTCGCGGTGCGATAGGGACAACGCAGAGTATGAAAAGTAAGTCTGGTGCATTGAGTTTTTTCTCTCATTCTCTTTTTGCACAGGTGGCTAACATGACACTTTAATGACTTTTTCATTGATTCATCCTGTTCTGCATTTGGTCTTTCTTGCTGACAAAATTCCAGTGAAATCACAGACCCATTGGGCCTGTTTTTTTGGGGTGGTGGTGGTGGAGGAAAAATAATCTCATTGCTGTTTCTACTGCAAAATTTGCATTGAGGTGTAAGTTTAAATCACATGTATGGCCGATAGTGTGCAGACTTGTGTTTTCAGATTACAGTTTTCCAGCATTCCCAAGCAGAAAAAGGAGTTGTCCGAAAAAACACAAAACCGGCAGAAACCACAGATCTGTACACCTGCCATCATAGAGGGTGTCTGTCAGTGTCAGGGTTTGAGATAGCATTTAGATCTATCAGTGAATTTGGCAGATACAAATGCTGGAGCAAATATTGGGACTGCTTTGAAGCAAAGGGATGAGTCCATCTGTTGATGTCCAAATTCAAAAGCCACCGGTTGGAAATAAATAAAAGGGAACCTAATGCATAGTTAGGAGTGAAGCTGCAGTCGATTGGACTTAGTTGTGGGAATGGACTCCATTCAACACCATTAGAACTTGCTGCTCGGCAAATTATCATTGGGTTGTACTGTAAATCTGTGAATTCTCAAAGGTTCCCTCATGAATGTACCTGCATAGGATCGGGTTGTTCATTTTGTGGATTTGGCGAGTTTCTTTGGTTTAGCTGGAGCCAATGATGTCTAGTCTACCAGTCTCTGCATGACCCATCCTAGGTGGAAATTAGCTGGGCTCCCTGTCTGTTCATTCTTTCCCAGTTATTCACTCTCATTAAGGTTTTCTCCCCATGGTTAAGTGTTCATCTTTTTAACCCTGATGACTATTGCCTTGAACAAAGTTCAGAGAAATCTGATGACTTGCAAAGTACGTGGGTGTGTATTCATTTATTCAGATGAGTACACCTAGCTTGCTTATCTGAGGTTTCTGACTCAGTAACAGAAATGAATCAATTTATCTACACTCGTCAGTGTCTAGTCTCTGTGTTTATTTTTCTTCTGCAAAACAGCTGTAAAATCAGTGAACAAGAGATGTGGAATTGCTCCGGCTTCAAAGCCGTTTGTGTGTCTTTTTCCATGTTGACAAGTATTTCCAGTGCTGTAAACATTTCCTGTGCTTTTTCCACTTCTCTCTCCCTCCCTCCCTCCTACTTTCTGATACTTTCATATGTATGCTTTAGTTGTGATCCACATTTAAATGCATAGGGTGCAATCAAAATCTGTTAACAGAGTACATTTAGAAAGATTTTAAGTTGCTGAAAACACTTTCTCCAGAGGTGAAGGAGAAGAAACACTTTCTTTGCCATTCAAAATCTTACCCTATTATCAGCCTAGATAACCTGGTAGTGTCTGAATGAATGTTGCAGGCAAGATTGCCTTTGTTGGAGATTGCATTTATGCCATTTCATGTAGCTACTTAATTTAGCCATCTTTTCCCAGCAGAAATTGCAAATTGTTCATACAATATTTCAACATAGCTGCTAAGATCACAGTTTTGTGTAGCTACAACATAGCTATAGTGATTCTAATAATTCTATTTGGAGCTAATTACTGTACTTAACTTTAAATGCTGCTCAAAACTGGGCTTGCAGTTGAGATTCCTGAGTTAAAGTAACCCAATTGTATCCAAAATGATGTTGCATCAGGAGTGGTTTATAGCCTTAAAAGAAGCTTAAAAGGGCTGTTAACGCAGTTTGGATTGCTTGTAGCTACTGTATGGCAAATGTGTGTTAAAACTGGCTTGCCATTTCAAATTGTTTGCTAATAACTTGTAACTAGAAAAGTTTGGGAAATTGATCAGCACCAGACTACAAGATTGACCATCACTGTCTCTTTCAAGGGCACTTGCAGAAGAAACCATCTGACTTGTCATGCATCTGGAAGCAATCATGATGGGTAGCTCTTTAGAGGTCATGAGAATATCATGCCAGTGACGTTCAGATGTTGTGATGATAGCAACTGGCTATAGAACTCAGTTTTTAAAATTCTCTTTGCTTTAGTATCTGTACGTGTCAGCGTGTACATACAGGTGAACGAGCCTGTCATCTGAAACTGGTGTGCATCCATTTGTATGAAAGAGAATCCGATCTAATGCTTATATCTCATAAATAGGTTTGTTTTAGATTATGGTCTTGTAGGCTGGTGTAATGCTCTAGGTCTTATGCAGCAGGTTAAGTAGATTGTCTAACTTTTGTTATGTTGTCGGCTTTTCTCCCAGTTGTTTTATGTTTAAAGGCACAAGCTAGCTCAGAGTTGTGGCTTGCCAAGGTTTCAGTTCTAAGCCTTGTTATTATTCGTGGCCCCTAAAGGCAAACTTCTGTGGGATGACACTCATCCTTGGGTTCTTTTTACAAAGAAAGGCAAGATAAAAATATTTTAAATAGGTTCTTTTTAAGAAGAAAGGCAAGATATTTTAAATGAAATAAATACAATAAAAATAAATAAATGACATAAAACCAATCCTTATGGGAAGACACACGAGTTGCATTTCTTTTTCTATCCACAAAGATGCAGCCCTGTCTTGAGGCACAGCAGAATCTTCAGAATATGGCACAGGTCGGTAGATAACTAGATTTGCCAAATCTTTTTTCACTGGAAGCCCCATGGTTTATGGAGTGGAACTTCATGCAAAATTGAAGCAACTGCTTAGTTTGGGATTTTTTCCCCCCAGTAGTGCAATTGATGTTTGCACATGGATCTTTTCATGCATGCATCTATGTATGTGTTTTTTCCCCCTTGATTCGGAACACAGCCTAGTTTAGGAGCGGGGTATATGTCTGTTGTTGTTAAAAGAATCTAAAAATCTTCTGTGATCAGCTGCCAGAGATCTACTGGTAGCCCCCACCCACCCTCTGTCTGCCTGTACAGCCCTTTAGTTTTTCTAAGGCAGGTTAATTGATCTTGATTTATGGCTTTCCGGAAAAGATAAGGGCAATTACTTTTGCAAAATGCCATAGATGGTTAGGGCTGTGCTTTGAAAGACAGCACTTCTGAGAGCGCCTATTGGCAGCCCTAAAAATCACACAGAGACACGGATTCAATGTGGATTTATACTGCGCAGCCCTCCCCCCCCCACCTTTTTTCTGTCTCCCTCCTGACCCCCTCCCTTTTCTTTCTCCTATTCAAGTCCTGTCCATGCTTTGCTCCACACTTAGTTTATGAAATCTGACAAGGCCACGTCCTGAGGGAAACATGACTTTCAGAATCCTCATAGTATCTCTTTATAAGCACATTATATCTATTCTCACACAGGAGAGAGTCCGCTGCTAACTCTCTTTACCTTGCAGGGGAGGAAAAAGGCAGCTTTCGAGAAATAAAGCAAGGTGGCAGTTCCAAGGGATTTTCCAAAATGATTTAAAAGGCTATTTTTAAAACTTAAATTTGAGAGGGCTTTTTTCCCCCTCTTTTCTTTTTCTTTTTTGGATGGGGGAAACAACGTCAGATGATCAGATTAGTTCCTGGAGCATAGGATTTTCAGCAACTATTATTGCTGCTGGCTGGATTGCTCAGTGGTTTAGGCGTCTGGCTGTGGAGCCAGAGATTGGAGTTCGATTCCCCACTGTGTCTCCTACGAGTCGATCCGGCCTGTGCAGCCTTGGGCAGCTTGCACAGTCCCAGGTAACCCACAGAAGAAGGGAATGGAAAAACCACTTCTATTATTCTTACCAGGAAAACCCATAATTCAGAATTGACTTGACAGCACATGATGATTAGTAACAGGAATAGTACTGCAGCAACAAGAAGCCTCCATGGATAAGTGCAGTGTATCTTACTACCTAGAATGGAAGATTGATAAGAAAGAACCTTTACTTTCCTGTTGTGAGCTCACGCCAGCATTTGTGTTGCATCCATTGGGATGCTGTTAAAATGGGCCATAATCCATTCAATCCACAAGGCAGGTTTTATTTCCTCTCGGCACCTATGTTTAAAAAAGAACTTAGATTGCCTACAGCGTAGGAATTTGCTTCTACAGGTGGAAGCAAGTCAAACATTCCTGTACCTCCTGGTTTCCACTGATTCTTGATCATGAGTGTGCTGAGAAACTTATCTTACCTTGTTTTCTGTGATGGGCAGGAACATAGACGCATGGCAAGTGACCCATTGACCTGGTGGTATCGATCCTAGCAAGGCAGGCTGTAAATGGTTGGCTGAGGAACTGCGTTTTGGAGAGCAGTGAAAAACTATATAATTACACTTATCTCACTCTTTCATTCTCTGTTCCCCCAAAATGCTTGCAATAGGAAACAGAAATCTGCAATCTTGTTTGGGCTCCCTTGAGATTAAATCCATTGGAGGATTTGCTCTTTTGAGTAACCTGGCTAGGATCAATTGCAATCTTTGTGTGGAATCAGATTGCATAGCAAACTGCTGAAAGAGAGCGAGTAAAGAACTAAGTTTTAATAATATTAGTTGCAATTAAATGTTGTCTTGGAAACCGCTGAGTACGCCACATGTTTTATTTGTCTGTTTCTTCTCTTTCTTACCTAAACTCTACTGATAAGCTTTTTAAGACCTATTTTGCAGTATGCTTGGGGAAAGTTTGATGTGCTTTGGCTCCACGTTCTATTAAGAAATCCATCTGCAGAGGCAAACTAATTAATTTTCATCACAGTTATGTATCTCAGCAAATAAAGCTTATGCTGACTAGAATGGATTGCATTACCTTGATAAGAGTAATTACACAAGGTTTAAGAATTTCCTTGTTTTTAGGGTGTGTATGGGTGTAATAATAGACCTTATATTAGTATGTATGTCTTTGAATGGTCACGTTTAGGCTCACTTTCAGTGTCATTCAATTTTAATCAGTCTAATACCTCTTCAGTTGTATTTTTTGCAGTGGGGAAAGAAGTGGCACTGTGAAAGAATATTAATGTGTATAGCCTATGAGACTAACAGTAAAATAATAGGTTAGGCTACTCGGAAGGAAG